ATATTACTGTATTACAATTCCCATCAATGGTAGTCATGATGTCTAATGATGAGGAACAGGAGTTTTTTATTCAGTGATGCCTTTATTATAGTTAACAAACCACACGGAAGTCAAACAGTTTTGTATAATCCTTACATACATATAGAAAGAAGTGTGCACATATTATATTGGGAAACAAAAATAAGTCATCATGGGATGGTAAAAAGGGATATAATTAAAAATATAGAAAGACATTGTAAAAATTGCCTAATAAAATATGTTTACATTATTTAAAATAGAGTATAAAACAGATGCAATTAAAATCAAATGATTTTATGAATTAAATGTAAATTAAAGCAACATAGCTTTATTACCAATAAGCAAGAATTTAATATCCCTCCTGCTCCTGAGAACAAGAGTTGTGGTCCAGTATTCAGAGCACCACATAAAATGACATGGAAGGCCAGATTCGACCTGCTGGTGTTGAGTTTGACACATGTGGTTTAGATATTCAAAATAAAACAGTGGAAAAGAATTTGAAGTAATAAAAATAACAAACAGAACAGTCCTTGAATGCACGTTGAACAAATAACGATCCTGCTGGAGGTATTGATCTTAAAGTCTTTGAGACAGTATGCTGTGTTTTTCAGTAATGCATTGTTATTCTGCATTTGGCTTGGTACTGAAAGTCTGTGCGTCAAGGTAAACGCTTGAATGTTACAATAAACACAGTGTTTTTAGTTGACAAAGCTACATAGAGAGAGAGAGACAAGAGAAAAAGAGGAATTCTTCTGGACTTGAGTATACTAGAATCACTTATCCATCTTTTTGTGAAAAACAGCCAACCAAAGGAGGGAAAAATAAAATATATCTAAGGAACAAACACTCTGTATCAAAGCTGAAATATTCCATTGATGGCTGTTTGTCTGAAAATTTCCATTTTTAAAAATAGTAGAACTGTGTGTGTTCATGTGCCCTTGCTCAACTATCAATTATAGTTGCACTCTCACCTCCAAAGCAAGTTGAGTCCTGCAAAGGTTCTAATTGGAACATGATTAAATGTAAAACTCTAGGTGTTGCTCCTTTCCCAAATGTCCTGAACTCAATAAAATACAGATCTTTCAAAATGTGAAACAGGAAGTGCTAATGCACTGAGGAGGCTTTCCTCCAGACAAAAGAGAACCCAGAGTCCATTCTCCATTTTAATGGAAACTGAAACACTTCCAGGCTCTCCTGGAAGTTGCTGCCTGTTGTTTCTACTTCTTTGTAGCTAATAACAGTGTGGACAAATAGTAAAGAACATAGGGGAGGTGCAGAGCAAGACGTCATGACCATTGGGTCCAGGATAAGTAAATCTGACTTAAATAATGAGAACAGGTTCTATTGAAGTGAAGGAAGCTTGCATTTTGAGTAGTCTTCTGAATGCATCCTTTCTTTCTGATGTTAAATAATAAATCATTCTTGCCTATTACAATTACTAAAGATTTTTTATTTTACGCATTTCAGCTTCTTTCTCACTTCCCATGTTTTTGCAAAAGATTCTCAAAAACTTGTTTTCTTCACTATTTAACAGCCACATTTGGCCTTTTTACTTTTTCTCTGAAAATAGAACTTTCTTCTGTGTTGTGTCCATAAAGCATTATGAATAATCTTCCTTTTGATATCACTGACAGCAAAGAAGTTAATACAGAACTATGTCCTCACTCTGAATTAGGTTATTCTGTCCCCAGTGGCAGAAGTGCGTAGCCAAAATTGATACAAATTATGTTATTGTTCTTAGTAAAAGTGGAGAGAGAGTGAATGGTGCTGAATTTGCAGCCAGCTGAGATAAGAATTCACTTAGAAGCATCTCGTATTACCTGAAGGGAAGGGCAGAGACTCTCACCAAATTCCATCTTTTAATGAAACATCAGCATCTACTAAAAGGTATTTTGCAGTTGAAGGCGATAGCTGCAAAATTGATTCAACTTGTTTAGACTCCATCCCTCATAGAGTTTCATTGTTTGGCTGTGGAGAAAAATAAAAGTAGAACCAGCCTGAGAACTAAACATTTATTTCAGAGCAAAGAAAATACAAATACAAAGGTGCATAAATAATTCATTTTCTCTCAGTTTCCATATGTAAGATTGTTTATTTTATAATGGATTTTTAAAAAATGACTCTTTGTTTACTCCATGTTTTTAAAAAGGACATTGTTATGTACCTTAACGTCTAGTTTGTTTTCTCTGTTGCTTTAGTTTTAATTTGCAAAAGTAAATTGGTTCATCGAGTCACTTACATGGAGCATATGAACTAATATTTAGACACTGAGTATATTAATTAATAAGATTCTGTATTATAGAGCTGTAGAGCTTTTATGGTAGGAATGTGGTTAGCATTCATGCTGATGAAAAGCAATCCTTATTTTATGTCTCTAAAATGCTGATTATGCTGATGGAGCTAAGCAAATTCTCACTTGCATTAGAAATGTTTCATTTACTTACTTGCATGAGTAATTATAACTCTATAATTCTTCTGTGTTCATGAGTTGTGGCTGGACAGTTTTATTGTTGAATTATTTTTATATTTATATGTTATTTATAGTAATTTTGTCTCCTTTTAGTAACTTTCTAAGGCACTTTTTCAGTGGAAAGTTATGCATCGAGTGAATGAATGAATGACGGCATAATATAATGTGTCATAGTGGTGTTACAGATGTTTTTGTATGGTCTTTGCCACAAAAAGTAGGATATTGGTAAAGACAGTGGATTGATGTGCACATTTAGCAAACAAAGTACAGGTGGTTATGCATCGGTTATGACAGAAAACATCAGGTTCATGCTTGCTTCAGTTCCACGTATTCAGTATGTTCCTTCACTATGACAGTTATTCCTATGTATTATACCTGCACAGTGCTGACCTCCTGATTTTTAGAGCTTAGACTTTGTTCATTATTCCTGCTTTTTTGAAATGAAACAAACACGGCACATTTATTTTAAAATAAGGAGTTTCCCTTTTGCTGTGATGAAGGACTATGGTTTTGATCAACAGCTCATGCTGAATGGCATCTTGCACTGTGAAGAAATGCTTAGGGTATGGTATGTGCCAGCACAACATAATGACCAGCTCTAGCAGATGTGTACATGGGAATATTCAGGATCTTAATATTGCTATGATTTCTCCAAGGGATGTGTCTGTGGCAATGGATAGATTTCAGATTTCAAAGAGATAAATGGACAGACTGCTACTGAGTAACTCAGTCATTCAACTTTTAGCTATAAATAATTGCCTTATCATAAGGTATTTTAGGGGATTTGATTGGGTTGTGTATCTGGCAGAGCTCTTTGAATTGTTTACTCAGACATATATTCCACTGAGTTAAATCAGTATTGCAACTATGCAGAAGAGCAAAGGGAATGTATTTGCATTTACTAAAAATCCCGTTCCCTACTGCCATGCAATTTATAGGGTACCAAATAGCAGCTACAGGGAGGGAGGTTCAGTATGAGGCCACAGAAGGAATCTATATGAAAGGTGTGAGAATAAAATATGGGAATATGATGTTTAATGGAAAATATAAGGCTGTCACACTGAGTTGATCTTGTTTGTGCTTTTTAGGTCAAATGTGCTTCCATATAGAAGTCTAGGTCACATTCTTCTATCTTAATTGCCACTATCTTGACAGCAGAGAGAGAAGAAGAAGCAATGGGTACGATAACAGCATGTCTAAGTTTTAGCACAGCTGGTAAATCATCAGCAATTATAAGATCTATCAACCAAAAGGTTGCAAGTTCAAAACTCCGGGTTGGCATGAGCTGCCAACTGTAAGCCTAGCTCATTGCTTACCTAAGCAATTCGAAAACAGCTTTAGCTGTGCTTAGAGAAATTAGGTACTGCTAAAAGTGGGGGAGGTGTTTTATGATGCCATAAAGAAAGAAGATCAGAAAATGCTGGGCAACCAAAAGGAGGGAGGAAGTCCTGATGGCTTTTCGTCATAGAGTATAGAGCAACAGCACCCCCTGGACTCAAGCCCAACCTTCCATGGCACCAAAACAGCTAAAACAAACCACCTCCTTCTGTTCTGTCTGTCTGTGTATTGTCTATACAAAGCAGCATTGAATGTTTGCTGTGTATATGTATTGTGGTCCACCCTGAGTCCCCTTCGGGGTGAGAAGGGCAGAATATAAATAAAGTGTTGTTGTTGTTGTTGTTGTTGTTGTTGTTAAGTTCAGAAACAGATGAAATGCCCTCTCTCCATCCCAATTGCCACGTCTATAGCCTTGAAAGAGAAGAACTGCTGGACTTAACCCTCCCTCCCCCCCCCCCCCCCCCAAACTGGCTATTCTATTTTCCTGATGTGTCTGCTCTCATTTATGCTCAAGGGCAGGATGCCTTTGCTGCTGGATAGTAAGTTATAAGTACTCTAAATAAATAATAAATTCCCACCACACCAGGGACTTAAAGAACAGGAGTTCCTGTCTTGGGTTCCCACAAAATTAGCTTCTCGTGGTAGTTGTACATTCAAAAGGGCTTCTGAAATATCTTAAAGCAGCCATCCTGACCCTTGTGTTGTTGAGATATCTTGGGAACAGATGTTTATTAATAATTGCAAAATACAAAGCCTCTTTGGAGGCTTTTAAACAGAGGCTTGGATGGCCATCTGTCGGGGGTGCTTTGAATGCGATTTTCCTGCTTCTTGGCATTGGGTTGGACTGGATGGCCCATGAGGTCTCTTCCAACACTATGATTCTATGATTCTATGAATGTAACTTCAGCATTATCTTTGTCTATGTATTTATCTTTCTTTTTATCTGGTCCTTTGAACAGATATGACAGCCAATTATATTTTCAGATGCTCTCATTTTCAGCTAAATTGTTGCCTTTTGTGTAGTTAAGTGAAACATGCCACTTTCAAGGCCCCCTTCCCTTTATAGCTTGTGTACAAAAAGCACCAACTGCTGAATTGTTTATTCTCTGATATAGATGTATGCTTCTTGGAAGCTTGATTAATATTCTTAACCATCTTTGTATTCCTTATATAGAAGAACTCAAAGAGAAGCTAAAAGGATATGTTGATGAGGTGAACACACAGAAGCCTGGGTTCATCAAGATGGTTCGACACAACAAGCAAGAAGGGCTCATTCGGTCTCGTGTTAGTGGCTGGAGGGCAGCCACAGCTCCAGTAGTTGCACTCTTTGATGCCCATGTAGAATTCAATGTAGGATGGTATGTACCTTGCTGCATCTGAATCTGTATCATTTTGTGAATTTGTTTCCCACTGTCCATAAAGTTCAGGAAAGTGTTACATAGAGTTCTGTTAATGATGTGTTAAATATAGACAATGGGTAAAATATTCTTAACTCGCAAATAATTATTTTCTACTTATTATTAAACCCAATATAAGTTTTAGCCATTGATTAGAGGGCTAATGAATGCATCTTAATTTGGGCCAAAAGGAAGGATGCTGTTTTGAAAGCTTTCACAAGTCTTTAGTGCTGGAGGGCTGGGGTGGAAAGCAGCAATGAAACCGTTTCTTCTTCTTGAGTCAGTAAGAAGGTTCTTGCCCTCTCTCTGAGTTGGCTTTCTCTTGTAGTCATATGGCCAAACTTGAAACTATGTAATACTTGATTCATAATTTATTCAGTTTCACCAATTCGAACCAATGTGTGCTACAGACAACAGTGAGCAAGATGAGAAAGAGAAAGGTGATGGGACATGACAGGGGATTTCTCACTCACCCAAGTACTCTCTCCCAAATAGTAAATCTTCTATTAATTAAAGCAAGTGTTAGATTTCCAAAAGGAAATGGAATAGAAAATGGAGATTCAAAATGCTGCTGTGCGCCACATGCCACCATTGCAATCTACAGATATAAAGCATGGCAGGTTGAATCTATACGAAAGAGGTTGCCTATATTAATAGTTAAGGTCATGAACTCTTGACATCAATTGCTGAACTTCATTGACCTCATGGAACACAGCACTGAAACAGTTGATTCACATTCAGGGATGTCTAAAAATATATTTGGTTTGAATTGTTTGAGCGAAGTTTGGTTTGGATCATGCAAATGTGCTGAAGACTCTCTTCTAGAGCTTATTGAACTGATAAAATTAATTCAGATAATGTATACAAATGGCTCAGGGAATTATTGTACGTGTAAAGTTGCATTACTGTTCTCATACATTTTCACCTGCACATAATTCCTGATAAAGGGATCATAAATCATGTTTTAACTAAGTGAGAAGATAGCAACCAGAGCTGGGGATTTCGAAGTACAAAATGACACTTTTAACAACATTCTAAAATTTAGAATGCTGTGCTAATTTCATTAATATATTTGGAGATTAACATGGGAGTCAGGGTCATACAACAGAAAAAGAAATTCTGGGAGATTTAAAAAAAACAGATACCGGTATATTTCTACAACTTCCTAAGGGAATAGCTGAAAATGTATGAGGGAATGAGGCATTATTCTTACCCTTATCTGTTGAGAGAACTTAGGATTGCAGTCTTTGAAGGTGATACCTACATAAAACTTGAAAAGATTCCAGACTTCACTTCTGCATAGGCAAGATGTGTCAGCAAGTATCCTTCTTGATGGCAAATAACAAAAAACATTGTCAATTGCTCAAAACATTCCTGATTAATATGAACGTTTATCTCCCATATTAAAGAAAATACCTATATTAGGCTTGCCAAGAGAGGAAATTGGCTGGGCTGGGCTTCATTGAGGATATGAGCAGTTTTTCAATATAACTGAAGAGTAATAACATTGAGAATATACCATTGAAATGGGAGGCAGATTCTACCTGGTGCTTTTACCCTTGGATAAGCTGGGAATGTGGATTCTGCCCAAAACTATCTCTTAACTCCACGATGCCCCTGTTTGTTTTTGTAGCTGTTTAAAAAGAGGAGTAGGGGAGATCATAAAGATAATCTGAGACCTAATTAAGTAATCACCGCATTCTATTTTTCAATCATTCCTGTTGTGCTGATATTAATTAATTGGATCAAAGAGCAAAAAGTAGCAATTCATGTCAGTTATTGCTCATGTCTTTTTGTGAGTTTTCTTTCTTTTTGGGTAAACTAGAGAAACATTTTCAAACAACTCAACTTTATATTTGTGGATTGATAGCAGGAAGTCATTTAAAATTATGTTAAAAGTGGTGAAACGATGTTTTCCCCTCAGCACTGTTTGAGCTGAACATTTATTGGTCCTTTGAAAGAAACCAAAGATGAGATTTAAGAGGAAAATTTGAAATTGAAGCTGATTTTCTTGATTTAAGCTATTAACAGGTGGTCCATTGTGTAGCAATGGAAAGAGTAAATTAAATAAAGAGGATGATTTTTTAAATTAATGTTAATTTATTGTTTAAAATATTTTTCCACATAGAAACAACATGGCTCTTAGACTGAGGCCCCTTCCAAACAGTTGAATAAAACCCCATATTTTCTGCTTTGAATTGGAATGTATTACAGTATGGACACAGACAACCCAGTTCAAAGCAGATATTGTGGGATTTTCCGCCTTGATATTCTGGGTTAAAAGGCTATGTGGAAGTGCCCTGAATGTATAGAGGGAGGAGGGGAATAAAGGAGAGAGAAAGAGAAGCATAATTGATGTTATGCTAGCTAGAGGGTTGTTAAATGAGGAAATGAAGGAAGTAATTTGATTGATGTCATTGAAGCAGATATGGCTAAGATGTACAATGGTGTTTAATTTACAGTACAGGAAGATTAATAAGAAATAGCTGAACTTTAGTATGAATTGTTATCAACTATTAATAATTCCTAGCAAATTTACAGAAAGACTGGATATTTTTAAATGATCACAGGTATTCGGATGGTACAATGCTTAAAATGCTCAGTAGTATAACTTCTAAATTATTTTTCTTTGAACTCTGATTATCAATAATTTTATTCCACAGTAAAGAATGCAGTGAAGTAATGTATTACAGGAGCACTGCAATATTTTTAATGGATTAATATTGCATTAATTGCTGTTGAGAAGATTTGAAATCATTTTATCCCCCCTCCCCCCCCCACACACACACATACACACCTTTTGATTTCTTTGTTTCTTTTTTAGTTAGTATTTTATATATTTGAAAAAGGTAATAACATATGTATATTTTAAACAAAGTCATAGTTTGTCCAGTACAAATCATAGTTCGGATTATTATTTCCAGCCATGTTCCCTAGGAGATTGTGGAAGTTTTAGTCCACCCTCACCCCCCAAATGTATTGATGGTTGTGCACTCACCCATAGCTAGGGCATAAAGGAAGAAGCAAACTGATGGGTATACGTGTTGAAATACTCATTATTTTCTCTTTCTTCAGGGCTGAACCAGTACTCACAAGGATCAAGGAAAACAGAAGAAGAGTAATTTCTCCATCATTTGATAACATCAAATATGACAATTTTGAAATAGAAGAGTATCCCCTGTCAGCACAAGGTTTTGACTGGGAATTATGGTGTCGATACCTAAATCCCCCCAAATCATGGTGGAAGCTGGAAAACACTACTGCTCCTATAAGGTAACATGCAAATTTGGACACAGGTTGTGTGAAGGGTTAGATTATAAAAATGCATGTAGAAAACTAACAAAAGATGTTGTGACTCATATTTTGCTTCACAGATTCTGTTTAGACATTACTGTATTCCACCACCCTCTTTTGTGAAACACAAATGCACCATATTAGGTCTTGCAGTTAAAGTACAGTTTGCCATCTGTTTGAATTGTTTCTTGTTACAAGCAATCTTGCAGCAGGTATCTAGAACTAAATTAGATTGAATAAATGTCAGATTTTAAAATCACAAAGTTCTAGTCTTGGATATAATGCATTAAGACAATATTTGCTAATTTTTCACAGTTCAAGAATTTTGATTATAAAGGAATGGGTGAATTTGGATCTATTTTCCCAATGTGAATAGAAATAAATTTCTCATATGTGCCATCCAAATTCTATAGGAACTATTGGTTACTACGTGGAAGATATAACATAGAGGAGTGTATCACAGGGTAAAAATAAGGAGAGTGTGTGCTTATATAGTTATGACAGACTGTTAAATTTGATCAAATGGCTTTGAGAGTATAGTACAGAGAACACAATCATGGAGGGCCACAGATAGTACATCTATAAAAGTGTGCATGTGACAATATGGAAAGTTAGAACAAAAGCGAGCATAGTTTTCTTTGCAAAATATTAAAATAAGGGTGTTACTTTTACATGTATAGCATTATTGTTTTGAGGCATAATGGTTGTTTGGACCAAGAAGACAAATGACTGGCATTGTTTTCATCACCTAATTCATCAAAAATAGTCTCCTGCAGGTCTGAACTGACATTTTGTTATCATCACAGAGATACTGATCTATACAGGGAGACTGGGGGGAGGTATTAGAGGTGGCAATTTTAGAAGTCTTGTGATCACATCAGGAACAGATGCCTCAGTTTATCACAGCTTGATTATCATTGTCCTGGTGAATGCAAAATGGTTCCTCCTTAATTCCAGCAACCCCCTGTCTCTTTTAATTAGAACCCTGTCGTCCCCAGTGCTTCTGTGGCTCATATATTGACAAAAGTGACATTTTTCCTTTTGCCTGCCTGCATGACAAAGTACAAGGTAGGGTGAAAGGCAGATTAATTATTCTGCTCTCAACTACTCTATAAATACTACACGGACCATTCTCATCCAATTTAAATGTCATTCAGAAGTAACCAGATTGAATGCCACAGGATGCAGTGCCTCTCCATTCCTAAGCATTTGCTTTTGCTCATTGCTTGTTAATCTTTGAAGTCCTTGTATGGTGTGAGGCACGGTGTAATTTGTTGGGTCCAATGTGTAGTGGAGCCACTATATTCTGAAAAAGATGCAAATAAATATCTGAAATGATGATGGCAACAATCTGCATCACACAGTAGCCTTATATAGGCTATTGTTTGGGGGAATAGCAAGGTGGCTAAAATAACTGTGTTTCTACTGGCTCTGACCTTTTTCAAAGCTCTGAACAAATCATATACATGGTCTTAAATTATATATACCTATAAATTAAGATATATATGGACTCAACAAGCATAATCCTGCTTGTCCGTCCCCGTCCCCCCCTCCCCCGCCATTGCATTTATATCCTCATCCATATAGACTTTATAATGATAAGTATGGCAAAATATCAGTAGCTGCGAAATATGTTTGTGTAAAAAACATAGTTTTGGTACCATCAAAGTATGCAATTTACCACCCATATACTGGGATTTTGAATCCATGGATCCAACTATCCATAACTTGAAAATATTACCCAAATGAAATCCAAAAAGCAGGCCTTGATTTTGCCATTGCATATACGGACCACCATTTTACCACACTGTTGTATATAATGGGATGAGCATATATGGATTTTGATATCCATGTGTGAGAGGGTCCAGCATCCTCCATAGGCAGGGGGACATCATAAGCATGGTCATTGTAAAGGGAGTTAAGGACCGAGGGGTCCCTTAGCACATGTGACAGGGGGGAACCTTCCTTTTCAATCCCACCGCTGTCACCACTATAACAGGAGTTAAGAGATCAGGGTCTCTTATTGCTCCTGTGTGACAGGAATATGCAAGGGTGTTACAAGTGATGAGAGAGAAAGGTGTGTGTATATGGTAGGTTTGCTGCACCACCCCAAATCACTTTTTGTGGAATTGTCTAGTAGTTGTAGCTGAGGTAAAAAGTCCCTATACACCGGTTCCTCTTTTTTGGCTCCCTTTCTCTTGTGACTGGACTGCAGAGATGTAGAGGCTTACTGTATCTGGCTTTATATGACAAAACAAGGCTGAGGCAGATTAAAAGTACACTAGAGAACGGGTTTATTGAAATGTTTGAAACAGACAACTCATTACTGAGTGGTACACATGCGTAGTTGGTTTCTGAAGCACAGACTTATAAAATAAATGGTTGCTTAAGAAAGAGTAACTTTTCTTTGATGTGAGTTACTTTCATCACACTATTCTATAACAAGTAACAGTGTGTTTCTCAGACCAGCCGCCCTGGCTGCCTGCGAGAGTAACTAGGTTCCTTCTAGACTATTCTGCACTATAGGGAAATAAACCCACTTGTATTCTCTCCAAATACAAGTCAACAAGCCTTCTCTTTGACTGTCAAAGCCAAAATACCCTGAAGCACTTGCCCTCTATTATTCTCTCCCAGTCTAATTCTAACTCACTCAGAAACTCTCTTCTCCCTGCCTGAAAATCCTAATCCTATCTCTTTCAGATCAAATCCCTCTTCTCCCTCTTAGATAGAAAGTACAGCCTTTTACACACTCCTTCAACTCCTCCCCTAGGGGTCTGAGCCAATCAGGAGTTAGCTGACTCCTCCCCTTGCCTCTCTGCCTTATTATTATTATTATTATTATTAACTTTATTTGTACCCCGCTAGCATCTCCCGAAGGACTCGATGCGGCTTACACAGGCCGAAGCCTCAGAACACAATACAGTAAAAAACATAACACAACAATAAACAAAGCAAATCAAATAGTTAAGCAAAATAACACAACAGTAACAATACATCAAGACACTTTAAAACTGGGCCGGCCAGCACAATGGGGTACAGGGTTAAAAGTGCTGGAATGGCAGGAGGAACGTAGGATTAAAAATATTGCGGTGTGCAGTAATATTAATTGTACTAAAGTGCTTCTAGGACTTGGGATGGGGGATTCCTAATCTGAGAAGGCACATCGGAACAGCCAAGTTTTTAGGTTCTTTCTGAAAACTGCAAAGTAGGGGCCTGTCGAAGATCTTTTGGAAGGGCATTCCAAAGTCGGGGGGCCGCCACAGAAAGGCCCTGTCCCGTGTCCCCACCAAGCGCGCTTGCGAGGGGGGTGGGATCACGAGCAGGGCCTCCCAGATGACCGGAGTGAGCGTGTGGGTTCATAGATGGAGATGCGGTCACGCAGGTAGGGGTGATAAAAGGGCTTTGTAGGGGGGGGAGGTTTTTTTTTTTTTTTTTTTTTTTTTTTTCGTGGAGATGCGGTCACGCAGGTAGGGTGGTCCCAAACCGTTCAGGGCTTTGTAGGTGAGCACCTGCACCTTGAATTGGGCTCGGAAAATAAATGGCAGCCAGTGGAGCTCCTTAAACAGAGGGGTAGACCTCTCTTGATAATGAGCCCAGTTAGCATCCTGGCTGCTGCCCGCTGGACCAATTGAAGTTTCCGAGCCGCCTTCAAGGGCAGCCCCACGTAGAGCGCATTGCAGTAATCCATTCTAGATTACCAAAATGTCAGCTATCCTGAGCACCCTCCCAACATGGAGGTCTGCTCACTGACTCCCAGGCTGCGGCCTACAAAGCAAAGGTATGATTTCACTACAGTCATCCATTCCATCAGTTGCTTATGACAAATAAGACTCAGGCAGCTGTTTGGAATACTCCCAGTAACGCCTTTATTTCAGACAGCCGACAACTCAAATCCAACTCAGCTCCTTGTTCTTCTCCCTCTCCCTCTTATCCCGCTTCCTTCACTCCCCCCTCCCTCCTTCCAATTACTCCACATGTATCTCTGTGCTTGCTTTGATTCAGCATCTTTGGATCTTGCTGGTGTTTTAAAGGAACAGCTTCTTTCCAATTCCAGGAGGGACGCTCCATTGTCTCCCCCTTACACCATGTCTTTTTCTGGAAGGAAGTCCCAGCAGATACCAAAGGGCCACTATATTCCTGTGCAGAATAATTTCCCCAAATACTTCAGAATACTGGGTTAGAATTATAAAGAAATATTATTTTTGCCTCACAGAGGAAAGGAAACAGTGGACATTATTTATTCTGTCATAATGAGGACAAAATTGTCAAGAGTTTATCCCTTGTGCATATTCACAAATTGACCACCATGTAAGAAGTAAGAGTTATTTTTAAGAAGAAATTATTACAAGTGTGGATTTTAAAGAGAAAAAAGGAAACAATAAAGGTAAATAATAAATAATAAAGGCTGCCATTGATATGCCATCTTGTCCTTTCCCCAAGATTTATTTCTGTACCCATTTAATCCCTTTCAAGGTTTCCAAGGAAGAGTGCAGTAGCAATGTAATCAAAATATTTATGTTGCTCTTATAGGGTAGGTAAAATTGATACCTTAATGGATTTATTAGCAACAGTTCCAGGTTTTGTCAAAATGACTCTTCAGTAGTATCTTCAGTCGTGAGCCACTGTGTCTGCTTTTAGTTTGGAAATAAATAAGTCATATTATTTTTGAAAGAAAGCTACAATTTTATAGTTGAAATTGCATAAGCTAGGCAAATTTAAACAACTGTTGTGTATTATTGTTGTATGCCTTCTAGTAGCTTCCACCGTATGGTGGTCCTTATCATAGGGTTTTCTTGACAAGATTGGTTCAGAGAGGGTTTGTTTTTGCCTTCCTTTGAGAATGAAAGAATGTGACTTGCCCAAGATCACCAGAGGCTTCCTGTAGCTGAGTTAAGATTCAAGCATTGGTCTCCAAAATCTCCACCTACATCTACACTAGAGAATTAACACAGTTTGACACTACTTTAACTGCCATGGCTCAATGCTATACATCAGCACTTTTTGGCAAGAAAAGTGACTGAATAAAACTACAGCCTCTATGATTCCATAACGTTGAGCCATAGCAGTTAAGGGGGTGTCTACAGTGTAGTTGAACACCTGGTCCAACACTCAAACCACAACACCACACTGGCACTCACCTTAACCAATGCAAACCTGAAATGCATTCTACCAATTAAATCCCTGTGTTTAAAAGTCTGTGGTTGTTGTTGTTGTTTGCCAATCCAGGAGTCCTGCACTGATTGGATGCTTCATAGTGGACAGAGACTATTTCCAAGAAATTGGTCTACTAGATGAAGGCATGGAGGTCTATGGAGGTGAAAATGTGGAACTTGGGATCAGGGTAAGCAATCATTGCGAGGAAGTTCTTTATTTCATCCCAAATGTTCAAAGAGTCCCTTAAAAAGAAGATGGTGTGGGAATTCAAAAAAAGTACATTTTTTAAAATAATACATTTTTCAAAAACCAAGCAAGCCTGGGGCATTTTTCTGAGTTAGAAGGTAGGCTGCACATGCCCCCCCCCCCAAAAAAAAAATGGAGAGGTAGACATTTTACTGGATGCAAATAACACAGAGATGACTTGATTTTTTTTTTACAATTTTTAAAGATTCAAGTTTTTTGTCAAAGTAAACTATTCAGTTGTCAAATTGATACAAGATCAGCATCCTATATGGTCTTTATTTTAATCAAAATATACATATCAGATAGCTTAATACTTGATTAAGGTCTTCTTATGTACTAGGTATAATATTATCCCTTAATTATTCAATAAAGTGGTTTTACTTAGCTGTTCTTCTATTATGAACATATCTTCATAATCTTAACATATCTTCAGTTAATAGGATTAGTGATCAATAACTCATTTAAATATGATGCAAAAAAGACAGATCCCTGAGATCTCACATTAAAAGAGACCACTGAATCAGTAGTTTTGACTTGCACTTTGTCCTCAATCTATTATTGTATTTTAGCTAATGTATTTTGTAGTTTCCCATCGGATATTTGAAGTCTTGAGTTTTATCAAAGGGCACTGCTTCATTCAGTAATTATTCCAGTACAGTAACTATTCATGTATTTTTCATAATCATTGTTTTCAACAGTGATTCTTTGGATATATGTTTAAATTTGCAGTTCTTATCATTTTTTTTCAGACTTTCCAGTCAATTTAGAACTGTCTATTGGAATAACATTTTCTGGCAGAATTAAAAACATTCAAGTTAACAAAGCCTGTTTTGCCTCCAGAAAAAAAACTCCTAATGACCAGTAGTTTGAGAAAGTATTTCTGCTTCTTTTATTTCGATAGATGTTTATATTCATGGGAGCATTGATAAGCTGGGCCTAAGGGTCAGTCCCCTGTTTAAGTGAAGAGTAATTGTACTTGTCAGTTCACCTTATGTTAGCTTCCATTTTCCTCTGCAAATCTAGAATAAAAATGAACTCCCTTAGGAAACTATGGAGGTTTAGCAAGCAAGATTTTTTTAAAAACTTGGCAAATTACAAAATACTATAAAACCAGAGTTACAAATGTGGGAGAACACTCATTGACCTCTTTTAATTAAGATTTTCTAGGTTAAAAAAACTTATCTAAGTCACATCTGCTAGTTTTGACACAGTTGAGCCATTTTGGAAGCAGATAAAAAACCAGACAGATGTGTTCTCCATTCCCAGCCCAGCTGAGCATATTTATTGACTACTGAGTCCATATAATCATGCAATTTCTATTCTACTCAGTGACATTAGTTTATTAACAACCATCTATATGATATATGTATCTCATTTCAGCTTCTCTAAATAACTTACAAAAATGTAATACTGTTATATTTTTTCTTAGAAAGGGATAACTATCTGGCTTTTAGTGTAAGTGAAAATATTCTTAGGAGGACATTTGGATTGTTTTGAATATTTTACAAAAAATAGATTTATGAACTATGTCATACAAAGATTAACTGCATGTAGCTGATGTCTGCCTTCTGTGGCTGTCAAAATCATCAGCATAGACACAATCCAGAAAATGAAGATACATGCCATATCACAGGTGGATAAAACATCTTCAAAGACTGGGTTAAACAAAGCTTAACCATATTTACATTATATATGGAAAATTTGCACACAGAGATCTCTCATTCTTAAGGTTTCTGTTCTAAGGGGGTTTTTGTCACATATCTAGAATTCCTCTGGATGGCTATCCACAAGATGTATTGGTTGTCCTTCTGTAATGAAGAGCATATCTTAAATGTTCCAATAATGGGAATTTACTATTTCTGTCCTCTCAATCTCTCTGGATCCCCCATTTAGATGCTACAACTCCCATGGCAGAAAAGCATCTGCTTATGTCCTCAGGCTGGTAGCATCATCTGCTGAGTTTTGTCAGGGGGCTCTGGAGAACCCTGTGAATTGATGCAGTCATTCTGCAACTGACTATGCCTCTCCAATCCACCACCATTCCATAAAATTACGTATTGTCTTCCTCCTCTTCCCCATCTTCTCCTTCTAATATCATCAGCATCATCATTATGACTTAACTGCTTCTCCTTATGAATTGAGGCAGGGAAAAACAGGTTAAAATACAACAATTAAGACACATTATTGTTGTGTGCTTTCAAGTTGTTGCTGACTCTAAAATAAACCCATTACGGGGTTTTCTTGGCAAGATTTGTTCAGAAGAGGTTTCCATTGCCTTTTTCTGAGGCTAGGAGAGTGTTACTTGCCCAGCGTCACCAGCAGAGATTAAAATCATAGTCTCCAGAGTCAGAGTCCAACATTCAAACCACTAAAACCCAGTTAAAAACAGGAAATGTGAAATATCAGGCCTGCTGTCCAAAAACCTGGTCCCAGAACCATGACTTCAGTTTCTTCCTAAAAGACAGGAGGGATGAAGCCGACCTTACCTCATTGAGAAGTGAGTTCCACAGATGGGGGGCTACAGCTGAGAAGGCCCTGTCTCTCATCCACGCCAGATGTATTTGCAGGAGCGAGAGCAGGGTCTCCCTGGATGATCTTAAACTGCAAGGCAGGATGTAGTGGGAGATGCATTCGGACAAGTAAGCTGGGCCAGAACCGCATAGAGCTTTATAGGTCAAAACCAGCACTTTGAATTGAGTTCAATTCATCATCAAATTATGACCTTTTCACTTCAAAAACCATATTAAAATTGTGAAGGACCTCAGAATTACTCAGAGCACAGCTGCACATTCCATGCGCAGTGGAATCTTTCCAATGATACATATACTGTATTTTCTCAGTCACAAAGACTGTTACAAAGTCAAAGACAGTATCTGTTAAGTAGTTGATAAAGACAACATCATGTACCATCATTGAGACTGAAAAATATGCAATCCAAGCATTCATTTTATATGTCCTCAGTTCCTCTCTTTCTTCTTGCTTGTCAAAGAAGCATTACTGCAACAGAAGAGAGGGTGAGTTCTTCACATAGTTTCTTTACAGACAAGAGACAGGCACATCATCTGTAGCTACTAGCAGAGGGTCAAAAGGCTACTCCTAAAAGCTGGTTTCTCTGCTTGAACTTGTGTTCTTTTCTTGAAAATATATGACACTTTGATTTTGAACTGAATGACTGCTGTGTCTTTACAGTGCCAAAGAATTTGATCAGTGCTACCCACGAGGCTCTGTAATAATTTACATGACAGAACATGGCCCCAAAACTCTCAAGTAATGCACTGGCCATTCAGTGCAGCTTATCTTCTGCTAATGTTAACTGTAGAAGATCACAATGATTGACAGGACACAAGCTTTTGTTGGTTGAAATTTGTGTGTATGCTAGATCACTTCATTATGATCCAAAGTTATTTTATTCCCACCACTACCACCATCTCTCCTTTTGCCAAAGAAGCACAACTTGACCTACATAAAAGTATTTTTATCTCCGAACACTGCTGTGTGAAATAGTAGTCTGTTTTATCTACTTCTACTCTGACAAAAAAAATCAGTTGCATTAAAATAAATTACATCACTGTAATGGACAGATAATCCTCACAATATATCACAGATGTTTTTATACACAATTCAAAACTAACCTAAATGATAGCAGGATTGATGAATATTTATAACACAACCTTTAAAAAGCATAACATTCTGGATGTCACATACTCTGTGTATATTTTAAAGCTTTGAAAGTTATTTAGGAGGAGGGGGAGGAGGAATTATTATTTCCTATCTTAAATTTCTCCAGTACTACTACACATAGTTAGCGACTTGTTACTTTATTCATATATTTTTTTTAAAAAAAATCTATCTTAAGACTTAGAAAATATATAATTATATTATGTCACCATAGTCACCTACGGATGTGAGAGCTGGACCTTAGGGAAGGCTGAGCAAAGGACGATAGATGCTTTTGAACTGTGGTGTTGGAGGAAAGTTCTGAGAGTGCCCTGGACTGCGAGAAGGTCCAACCAGTCCATACTTAAGGAAATAAAGCCCGACTGCTCATTGGAGGGAAGGATAGTCGAGGCCAAGATGAAGTGCTTTGGCCATATCATGAGAAGAAAGGAAAGCTTGGAGAAGACAATTATGCTGGGGAAAATTGAAGGAAAAAGGAAGAGGGGGCAACCAAGGGCAAGATGGATGGATGGCATCCGTGAAGTGACTGGATTGACCTTGAAGGAACTGGGGGTGGTGATGGCTGACAGGGAGCTCATGGCGTGGGCTGATCCATGAGGTCACGAAGAGTCGGAAACTACTGAACGAATGAACAACAACAATGTATAGAATTTCATAATGGGCATATATATATTTCCAATTACAAGTATAGCTTCCGACTCTTTTGGGATCTTATGTCTGGTAGTTATTATTGTTATTATTAGGTTTATGTTTATTATGTTTATTTCTCTCAACAAAGAAGACTAGTTATGGAATTTATCCCCCTGCCCCTAGCCATCTCTCCTTCCAGCTTATAGGGATCTCGGAGACTTGCAGCTCTTGAGAAAATATCATGGTAAAGAGCACATGATTCTATCTCAAACTACAAATTATGGAATACCTACAGAAGCAGTTCTCTCTGTTCTGTAGAAGGTCCTAAACTAAAATGTCTATAACACTTCTTGTTTTGCTCTGGCCTATATCAAAATGTAAAGTGTGTAGGCAGAGAGAAAGAGATTTCCATAAATATCTTGAAGCCCAATATACAATTTAGATTAGTCTTCTCATATTAGGAAGGTTACAAACTACTCGGATTTTCATTGTGCTGAAATGTATCCTTTCCCCCTTTTATGTGTTTTGACTCTGAGCATACACTTCACCTTTGGTATTATCTGGGGTTTGGTTCCAAGATCTCCTGTGGATGCCAAAATCTGTGGACATATAAGTCCCATTATATACAGTGGA